ATAAATGAATTTCCAAAGGGATATAAAAGAGTGCCGTGCCTGCAGACTCTCCTTGAGTTTTTTTTTTCTGATGTCACTGTGTGTGTTTTAAAATGGCTTCTCTCTTTGGTCCTGTTTTAAAATCACAATCATACAATCTCCACGTCCTAGAGTTCAGTTTCCGTAAAGCTTTATTTATTTATTTATTTTGTCATTACACTTCAGAAACATGCAACAAAATATTATTTATCATCTATTCAATCCAATCCGATCCACTTCATTTAAAAACATTTCACAAACAGTTTCCAAACTTGCACAATAATACTCATTTATCTGACTGAATCTACTAAGAAGACGATATGAACTGTCCTAAACTAGATAAGATCACCTTTATTCATCTCACATTGGGGAATTTTCAATGTTGTAGCACACATACAGGACAGTAGTACTGTAAAAGCACACAGGGAGCACAAAGCTTCAATATCAATACATCGTGTGGGGAAGATGGCCCGAGTGTCAAATTGAGACATCAGAACTTATAATAAAATGAATAAATCAGAAGATTTGTTGTAGACCAAAAACACCAGACAATCCTGTAACATTTCTCACTTACTTACTTAAATGCATATAGGGCAGGATAACGAGTAGATAAAGTGATATATGATGCTAAATTTAAGCAAGTTGACTTATTTTTCATCTTTTACAGGGAGAAGGGTTCAAGAGCTTAACTTCCCAGTGGTAGAAGCAGCCTAGCCACTGGGCCTGATCCAGAGACTCCTGTGGTCCTGGTTCTGAGACTCCCCTGGTCAAGGGGCTCCCATGGTGCTGGTCCTAGTCCAGGGGCTCCCATGGTGCTGGTCCTGGTCCAGGGGCTCTTATGGTGCTGGTCCAGAAGCTCCCGTGGGGCTGGTCCTGGTTCAGAGGATCCCGCGGTACTGGTCCTAGTCCAGAGACTCCTGTGGTGCTGGTTGAGGCCTGGACTACGTGGGTCTCAGAAAATGTTCTTTTTCTGAGCATTTTTTGACTTATTTTTCATCACTTTTTGCAATGGTTTGTGTTTTTGCCGATTTTGCGCAATACGTCTGTGAAGCCACAAAGAAGATCGAGCGATTGTAAAGATTAATTTTAACAAAGGCCTTGTGGCGTAAATGCAGGATGTTCTAGGATTCTATTTGAAGTATTTCTTCATGTTATATGTCATAATATTCCAACAATATCTGTGCACATTAGCAACGTAGCTACCACATCCTTCTCCACACAGCTCAGGGATCAGGGGACTGTAGAAGATGGCCAGAGCACTCGCACATTGACTTAAAAAAGAAACGGCAAATCTGAATTTCATTATGACATTAAACACGTTTCCTCCTGCATCGCAACGCCACATGAATATTGTAGAAAAAGAAGCCTGATTGGTTCATTTATGTTTCATCGGATCCAAGCGCTGCATTCCTAACATCACTTTGTACACGATTTGTGGAATCCAGTCATGAATATTTGATTAATTTTGGCGTTCTGTTTATACGCGGTGAGTCATTTTTGTGTTGAGGGTGCTTTAGAAATGCATCTCCCCCGCGGTGCGTTCGGATTTAAATTTGTGTGTGTGTGCGCGCGTGTGTTTTTAAAAAGTTTGGTTCTTTGACTGGATCAGAGTCTGAAGTGGACCAGACACTTCATGGTCAGACTGTATACAGACCATGAAGAGGTCTCAGTCTGCATGTATACTGAGACAAGAGTGGTCTG